GTTATGAATAGCATTGTTGTCTACTTTTATGTGCATTGCATTCGCAAAACCTCTGTAAAGATATACTGTAGCTAGCCGTGGAATCTATAATTGTGTTTGTATACATAGCATATCCTCTGAATGTTTATTCTTACAATACAATATAGCTGTTGGTTACCCGAATAAGGCATGCATTGAGACCTGTTAGATTTTATTAAAATAATCATTCTGACTTAAGTTACCTTTGCGACTTGGTTGTTCTTGAGGCTGTGGCATGGCGGCCAGTGCTTCAGCCTTCTCCATCTCTTCCAGCAGTACGCGAGTGAACTCCGACTGTACGTCTGGAGAGTCCGTGTCGCCGTCCACCTGGGGTAAAGAGGGAATGACAAAAATGAAGATAGACAACTAACATGACATTCGGTTTTTTAAATCCTGAAGGGTTTTGGAGGCCGAGCTCAAGTTTTTTAATATAACATGCATTTTATACTGGGCACAATTCCAAACTATAGAGTTTTCTATGCATCCTATGATGCTAGTACCAGAAATTTTAGAGTCTTTAAAATCATATATTACTTTTCCCGATCTGAGAATGAAACTCAAAATCCGTTGCTCAGCAGTCATAATAAATTTGTAAAATTGAAATTTGAAATTATAATTGACATAACTATTTTTGTATGCTTATAGGCACAAGCAGGGCCCTTTGCAGAGAGATTTTAAGGATAGTCAGACATGAGGAAGAGTAGAGAGTCACTCATAAAAACTAAACAAATGATACTTACAATGACCAGTCGATGGTCCTGGTCTAACGTCTTCAGCATGGGCAGACTGAGTTCGCGGAAGACCTCCAGTCTCCGTCGGAAGGCGGCCACGGAGTCATCTCGTCGTCCACGGCCCAGCTGCAGCTTGGAGCAGTCCAAGAGGACCATGCGAGGGGATATACGGAACTGGAAGGAACAAAAACTCATAAGTATCTCTGTAATTGACTATTATTAAAATAGCTCCTAAAATCACCCCCACCTACACAAACATCTTCCTACAATATCACACCTTCCTCAAAATCATTAAATTCCATTGTCATCGGTTTCTCACCTCGGTCTGGAACTGCTCCATCTGATCCAAGTCCCTGGGATATCCGTCTAACACCAGTCCATGTCCCATCCTCCCAGCATCCTGCATAGCTGCCCTCACCAGCTTAGTGACCAGTTCCTTAGGAGCCAGTTCTCCTCCACTGATGGCTGAGCGAGCCAGAGCACCGTCTGATGCTGGACGGCCTCCTGCATCTGCTAGACTGCGGAGACGCTGGCCTAAGCTGGAGATAACAGAAGATATATGTAGATCTGAAGACCATGTTTCGTAGGAAATAAATGCTTGAAGATGCTTCCAAGATATTCATAATATTTTTACCTATAATGTGTCCACCCTTGTCGCTGCGTCACAGCTCGTTGACAGAGCGTGGCCTTATTGCTACCCGGCCCACCCACCACCCAGAGTAACGCAGGAGTCGTCGACTCTCCACGGACTCGGATCACTTCAGGCTGAGATCGAAGAAACATATTTTTCTTACAGTAGTTATATAAAAAATAATGTAGGTATAGGTACGCTAATATTTTGTTCTGAAGCCGTTAAAGATAAAGGCGTCATTGTAAGTAATGTATGTTGTTATAGAAAGGTAAATGTATCCTCTACCAGGGCCGCGGAGGACTGCGGAGGGTTGCCGGGGCTCCGGCTCGAAGTGCAGGAGTAGGAACGGGGTGGTTTTTAGTCAATAAGAGTCTGACTCTTCCTCCTGTCTCACCCAGGCGGGAGAAGTCATTCGATGATTTTCCCCACTTAAAAAAAAACCTATACAAGTGGGGTCGCGGAGTCAAAACTATTGCTAATTAGAAGTTTGTTGATACGTTATTATTCCAAAAAATGAAATTGCACAGGGGTATTATTAGCCACATCCATAAGTAATAGAATCCAATCATACGCCCATAAAAATAAAATACGTATCTATATTCACCCGAAATTCTTATACGGTCACAAGGTAATCACTAACTAGAAGCATATACAAAGAAACAAGCTGTAATAGAAATTATTTTACCGTGGGAACGAACAAGTGTGTGCTTTTAAAAAACCCACCATATCATAAAAGAAATTTCCTTTGTGATCCAGCACATCAACCTCCCCAAAACTGACAAATATTATCAAAGGAGTTTCGACTCTACCTCAAAAATGACAAAGTTGTAAATAGTTTATAGGCATTTGTCTAAAGGGTAGGTCGTTGTGCGTTTGTCTGTAATATGGTATACTTGAAGAAAAATCTACAAAACTCCTCATTAGGTCAAGGCGGTGACCTCTTTTATTCAATGAACAGCTGGATGTATCCACAATATAATATTTTTTGTCGATTCATTGCCCTTTAAGTGTCTATGCGAATTTACTTAAACGAGTATTTGTAGACTTATTTTAAGGTTGTATATGTCTGAAAAGTGTATATCTAGCTACTGTAATTTAACTTTCATTGACTTAATTATTCTTGATCATTTAATTACTTTTCCTAGAAATTCCTTTCGACAAACCAATGATATTTTAGATGGGCAAAAATTTGGATCAATTATCGATATCGTTTTCAGTAGTAAAAATAGCTGTATTATTATTACTACAAAGGAAACCTCTGCTTTCACCTACCACCACCATAATATAATAATTCTTATATACAAAAAGTGGAACATAAATAAATAAATATTAAATTTAATTATCCTAATTAGCATCACTCCATGTAAACTCAGGATTCAGAAACCGTTCTCCCACGACCTATTCGCCACTAGACTGTTCGTCGACAGGACGTTTCATGTGCGATACTAAGAACTTAACACACAAAGAAAACCTTCAACTCATAAACAAAACTCACCTTCGGCGTAACAACCCTATCATTAGCCACTTCTTTAACAGGCACAGTTACAGGCAACGCTTTAGGCACAGGCAACGGCATAGCCACAGGTAAAGGCACAACAGGAGCCACATTCTCTTCTCTTCTCTCCCGTTCTATATCTACTACTGGAGCCGGTTCCACTCCTACTATCTCCCCTGGTATACCACCAGCGCCAACCCCAACGCCACTGACTCCGTTCATCGTGGACTGGTCTTCCGTAGCTCCTAGGATCTGGAGTACGGCAGCTCTGAAGTCTTTGTATACTTCATCTGGATTACGTTCGCCGTTCACCTGGTGGGAGATAAGGTATAATTAAAAGTCATTTAATATCATTAACAGTCAGCCATCATAATAAGTAGCTTGTCCACTCAGATACTCAGTCATGGATTATGGGTCTTCCGGTCTCCGCTAAATGATTTGCCACTAATATTGGGCTACTGCCCCATCCCTGTCAAAAGAGTAATACCTTAGTTGGCTTTTACCACCCCATGGGAAGACTACGGGGTGGATACGTGTATTATTTTCTGCCAACACCATACGACAACGATATAAGACAGTTTCTGTTAGGTACCATCTTTTGTCCGTAGACCAATACTTTCGTTTAGCTTATTAGTTGCTCGCGCTTTCGTCTGCGTAGAATACTGACTTCTCGCAGAAATAAGACTATTGAATTAGTCTTTACCAAGGGATATTCTACAGTAAGAAATGTCGTCAGAATTATTTCAGTACCTAGTTCATTTATCATCATATTAGATTAAAATTAACTGTTATCCCATTTAGCCGTGTCGTGGAGAACCTAACGGGTAACCGGGGCTCCGACTCGACGTGCAGGAGAAGGAACGGGGTGGTTTTTAGTCAGTAAGAGTCTGACACTCCCTCCCGCCTCACCCAGGCGGGAGCAGTCATTCGATGATTTTCCCCCCTTAAAAAAAAACCCATTTAGCCGTAACATTGAATCAACACAAAATAATGATCTCTCATTTCCTCAAATTTTGTTATTAACACCAATCCATAATCTAGAATTCTAGACCATCCTTCGACCACACGACACAATTGAATATTAGGTTGAAATAATTCAAGAGACATACTCAAATTATAAGGTAAATTGTTAATGAATCACAAAGGGCCTAAATTAGTTACCTCTAATTAAATACACGTTTGTGTTGCACGCCCATTGACATAGATATTCGGGTTGGAAGCCATGCAATATAAATGTGACCCATAAGACGATATATCGATGGTATCGATATTTCATAGCCATATAAGGTGTGGTATTTAAGCGTGGGAGAGCCATGCTTCGGCACGAATGGGCCGACTCGACCGGAGTGATACACGGCCGAGCAGAAAGCCGACGTGAAACAACACTTGCGTTGTATTTCGTCGTGTGAGTGAGGTTAACGGAGGCCTAATTACTCCCTCCCTCATTGTCGAATCCAACAATCCTCAAATTCTTCATCCCCTAAAGGTCGGCTTGTAACACCTTGTGTTTCGAGTGTCCATAGGCGGCGCCGATTGGCTTACCATCATCCGTCCGGTGATGAATTAAAAATTTGAAAATATAGAGAGGTTTAAAGACCTGTCTGATGGTCTGTGAATAGTTCGAAATTTATAGAAGAAATAAGACTTCTATAATAGGAAGGTGGTGAGCTAATCTCTTGTCTGTGCGTACATGAGACATCAATACATCAATACATAGTATAAAACAAAGTCGCTTTCGCTGTATGTCCGTATGTATGCTTAGATCTTTAAAACTACGCAACGGATTTTGATGCGGTTTTTTTTAATAGATAGAGTGATTCTTAAGGAAGGTTTGTATGTATAATACATGCATATTGCACCCGTGCGAAGCCGGGGCGGGTCACTAATAATAGATAACACATTGTGTCTCGAGTAGATCTGTGCTCCAGCTATAGCTCAAAAGGGACTTCTCATTTAAAAGAGACTGGCAGCAGTAGGAACGGGGTGGTTTTTAGTCAGTCTGACACTAAAAACCACCTCACCTAGGCAGAAAAAGATATTCAATGATTTTCCCCCCTTAAAAAAATATCGACTTACAGCTTATGCCAAAAATCGAACAATAAATTGTCATTTGTTAGGACTTTTAATTTCATATTGGCAGTCTTCCACAAAACACACACTCAGGGCACAAACAACACATACAAGGCACGCCATAACATCAGTTCAGTAGTGTTACAAAAAATTCATAAACACTTCAAGGAAACTAGCTACGTGGTGTTTCTAGCCTTTTTATTTATTAAATACTTGATTAGTACCTTCAGCTAGTTATGAACCTACATTTTACACTTTACAAGGCTGCTGTCAAATGCAGCACACCGTACTTTTATTAATGTTTTATTTTATTGGAAATATTGGAAAAAATTACGGCTGTTTGAAGAACTGAAGTGATAAATAATTCCTTACTGGAACTATGAAATGGGGGATCCGGTTCGATGTTATTTATTAGCTTATCGTGTTTAAGAAGATTGGGTTTAAAGACTCCTGTTAGTTTTTCGTTTAAGCTAAACGTTTGAGGATTTTCGTTTTCAGGATACTTAATTCTTAAATCTCGTTGACTGCCTCGTTGGCCAAGTGGTCGCAAGGGCGACTGCCGGGCAAGGGGTTTCGGGTTCGATTCCGGGTCGGGCAAAGTATTATTGGGTTTTAAAAAAAATCTCAGTGATAGCACGGAGTCTGGAATTGTGCCCGGTATATATATGGCAATAGGCGCACCCCCATTACATGGGTCTCATAACATAAATAGTGAAAAGTGGGTGTTACATTGTACAGTGCTTAAGTGCCGTAATGTGCACTTCTGCCCCCCCTTCGGGGGTAAAAGGCATGATGTTATGTTATGTTAATTTTTAAATCATATCTATACCTACTTAGTTCGAAAGTTCGAAACTATAGAAGCACGACTAATTCAAATCAACAATTTCAAAAATATCGACCACATTTCTTCGAATAAAAGCAAAATAAATGACCAATCAAATAGGTTTGCAACAAAAACTATTCTATCTACGTCCAATTTCCTAGGAAATCAATCGCAAACCGCATTCTTAATGCTTTGCAAATAAAACCGACTTTTCAAACATTGGAACATGCACGCCCTATATTAGGGGAGACAGGCATCATAGTACTACAATATCTGTATGGACAACTACATACAAATAGCTATTCTTTTAACTCGTCGAGTACCGGTTTTGCAGACACAATTATAGAACAATAGGTTGCGGTCACCGGTGACCGCTTGGTGTTTGACAGTTTAAGGGGGAAATATCATCGAATGAATGCTGTGTGCTGGAGGGAGTGTCAGACTCTTACTGACTAAAAACCGCCCCGTTCCTTCTCCTGCACGTCGAGCCGGAGCCCCGGTTACCCGTTAGGTTCTCCGCGACATACCTACATATAGCTATTGTGTACTTGTGTAGTGTATTTTGCCCGTATAGCATTTAGAAGATGTTCGCGGATTATTCAGGATTAAACCGGCAAATAGGTATCTATAAAGCCCCGTAGGAATATTGGGATAAAAAGGAACTTATGTTATTCTCTAAAAACAAGCTTTTTAGTAGTAAATGATTTTGCAAATCAGTCTTATATCTTCCATGTACACTATCAAATGTCTTTATAATTAATTTTCAACCTTGAGATTTGGCTTTTAAGTCGAAAATCTATTAGAAATGTTTGATATTTCTCTGGTAGTATCACGTGCTGTGGTCTATCCCTCCCATCACAGACACTCGGTAGCTCCCACGGAATACACATACACATATTGCATTATTTATGCATCACGATAAAACAGAAAGTATTTTACGATACCTATACAATATACATAGTTATTTGAACATATTTTCTGCGCAGTTGTTTTATTTACAAAGTTTCCCTGTAGGTAATTGAACGTTCTACATTTGTATTGTTTACACGTGGCAGCAATTAAGGAATTAATAAAGACTTAGCACCTGTTAATAACGAACGTACTTACAAATACTTTGACAAATAATCACACATTAGAACAATAAAGAACGTTAACTCGCTGGATATACAAACCATCATCATCATCAACAGCCTATAAGTTGCCACTGCTGACCAAAGGCCTCATGGCACACGGAGAAGGTTTGAGCATTAATCACCACGATTCAAACTTGTAATAAGAAATTATAAACCCAGATTTCCTCAAAGTATTACTAGGTTTAAAAAAATTCTCAGTAGTAGCACGGAGTCTGGAATTGTGCCCGGTATATGGCAATAGGCTCACCCCCTATTACAAGGGACTCGTAACATACACAGTGAAAAGTGGATGTTACATTGTACCTCGTGTGTTCATAAGTTTTGAGACAAATTAAAAGTTGCATATCTTTTTAAATAATAAACTTATATTTTTAAAAACAATAACAAACATTAAGTAGATAGTAAGTAAAAATTAAATATAATTATTATTCAAATGACCACCCCTGTTTTTAATACATGCCCTTAGACGATTTGGCCAGTCATCAATGGCGGCACGAATCTTTTCCAGAGGAATTCGCTTCGCTTCTCGGACAAGAGCTCGCTTAAGTGACTCCAAGTTTGGGTGGGACTTTCGGCAGGCTCTGAGCTCTAATTCGGTCCATAGAGAATAATCCAGCGGGTTGAGGTCGGGGCTGGAGGAGGGCCATTCGTTCGCCGCAATGAAGGCCGGCACATTTTCCTTCAGCCAAGCTTGGGTGGTTTTAGCCTTATGGGATGGCGCCGAGTCTTGCTGGAAAACCCAATACTTGTTATGGAATAGGGTATTAGACAGGGGTTTCACAACAGTCTCTAGAATGTCACTTTGATAATTTTTGGCTTTCACCTTGACGCCTTGTTGGCAGAAATGAAGCTGAGTGACACCTTCGTACGAAACTCCCCACCATACCATGACACTAGCCGGATGATGAGTACGCGAGACATTCCGTGCTGAAGGTGGGACATCCTTGCTACTTTTGGCATACACTTTATTGTTTTGTCGATTGAACTTTTCTTCGACGGTAAAGAATTTCTCGTCGGTGAAGAGTATCTTCCTCGCATCGTGTCTCCTAAGCAGTATTGGACAACGTTCGCGTCGCAATTGACGAAGGCGATCGTTTAAAAAGTGTACTTTTCTACGGCTATACGCCTTAACCTTGAGATCATATTTCAGTATTCTGTTGACTGAAACGCGCGAAATATTTGTCTGCAGAGCGAGTTTCTACTGAGTGCGACATGGATTTCGGCGAAGTCGCTCTCGGATGATTTTAATGTTCGCAGGCGTCCTCACAGAGCGTGGACGACCACTT